AAGGAAAATAGTAAGAGAACTTCTACTATAGGTTCTTCCAAAGTTAGAAGACCTTCCGATAGCCAAGACGAAGATGATTCAAAGAAACCATCCATTGCATTCCGAAGGTCGATCCAACGTCTCAATAGTGCGACAACAACTGTGAATATCCCTCAACAACTAAATATCACAACGAAAGTTCCTTCATCTTCGATAAGCAGCCTGGATCCTAGCTTAATGTCTGGAGAATCACAACTAGAATTGGAAGAAGAAGCCGAGCGTGGAAGACAAGCCCAACCTGGTAAGCCGGGAAAATTGGAGAAGCGAGCAAGGTCACCACGGAAATGGAATTTCTTTCATCGGCATGCACCAAAACCAGAGACCGAGATCAAATCCGATGCGGTACCTGTCACCATTGGTAGACAGCCTGTTAAACCGATACCACACTACGCTATGTTTGAATTTTCTGACGAGCCAGAAGATACTGATAGTGTGGATTTAGCGGAAATTTTAAGAGATTCAGAGGTGGTAGGACTAACTGATGAGCAATTGAACGAGCTTAGGTTTAGCAATTATAAGGAAAATATCCGACGTATCGAAGAACTTCAAACAGCAATGGCTCCTTCGCTTCCAGAGATGGTTCCAGCAACCGTTGCTTTTTCACCGCCGGAATTAATAATGCCTTCATCGCCACAAGTTCCTCAGACTCAAATAGAATCTCAGATTCAGAGAGAAGTGACACCTATTCGACCAAGTCGCCTCCAGCAAGTTGGTCGAATCCCAAAGGTTGTCTCTGCAAGACCTGAAGCTACATCCCCAATATCTTTCTCGAGACCATTTGCACGATTGAGCACTATACAACCTGCCATGGATGTATCTTCATTTGATGCTAATTCAGTTGCTTTGGGAGCAAGTCCACCGAAGTTTTCTAGCCCTGAAACTTACCCAGCGAAATTCAGTAGTCCACCATCGTATCAACGAGAATTTTTATCCTTTTCGCCAAGAAGGTCTCCTAGGAATAATTCCACAGCCACGACGAGTAGTTCGAGCACAATTAATGGTGCTGAGATTACGGCAATTATCCCCGAACCCGATTCGGCATTAGCGGAAGATGAAGTATGGGACGAATACGACGATTTGATCGAAACGGAAAGTACGACGAGGAAATCTCGCATTGTTTCTACGACATCATCTTATGGTGTTCCATTTCAATATGAAACTTATCAAAGTCCCTCTACCCGCATGATTAAGCCCATGCTTCAGGCTTCTCCTTTTCCTAATCGCGAATTGCCGGAATTGCCACGTCGAAGATCTGCTATTACCTCTATAGCGTCGAGTTGCTTTAGCGTCGATGTGGACGCGACTGTGAAAGCTGAAGATCAAGATGCGTTGAAATCCAAACCATCGCCAACAGCTCCGGCCTTCTCTCCCGAATTACTCAAACGCAACGATTCTGTTCATTCAACGCAATCTCAACAACTTTCGATAGTCGAATCAAGGAAATCTGGTTCGAGTAATACATCACGGATTTCAGGAGCTAGTCTTTTGAGAATTGAATCTGAAGAAAGCAGTTCTCCAATTTCGCAAGTTAATCTGAGAGTTGGAAGTATGAGTGTTAGTAAATGGCTTACTTTTGGGAATGTATTGTTTAGTCCTGCTAGGGATGAGGTGGGCAATTTGATGGATGGACCCAGGACGAAATGTCATTCCATTTTGGTTATTGATGGACTTGGCAATGGTATGTTTGATCCATATTTATCCCTGGCATGGAACTGATACAAATTAGACGACTGGTCTTTCTATGCCGCAGAAACTTATCCGACTTGTACATTCTACAATCTGTCCCCTACCGCCCCTCCTCCGACCACTAATTCCAAAAATCCTGCCTATTTACTTCCACCTCCTAACCACCGACAAATTCAATTTTCTCCTCTCAGCAGCACCTCCAAATTTCCCTTCTCTTCTTCTACATTCAGCACTGTCATTTTCCGCTTTCCTTCCTCTCTCACAACTCAAGTTTACAATCACATCCTCTCCGAATCTCGACGCGTACTCAAACCAGGTGGATACATTGAGATAACACTTCTCGATCTCGATATGTTGAATATGGGACCTCGTACTCGTCGCGCTGTGCGAGGTCTCAAAACGAGATTGAAGAATAGAGATGAGGGTGTTGTGTTGGGCAGTTTGGGAGATATGATTCTGAGAGGACTTGGAGCGAGAGGATTTGGGGATGTGAAGAGTTGTCGGGTGGGGATTCCAGTGGTGGGAGTATTGGAACGGGTTAGGAGTGGCAAGGAGAAGGAAATCGAGGAGGTTAATCGACAAAAGGGAAAGAAAGAAGAACGAAGTTTAGCCGAAATGATGAAGGAGGAAAGTGAATCTGCAGATGAGAGTATTACTCGCATGGTAGCGAAAGTGGGAAGGTGGTGGTATGGAAGTTGTTATGAAGCTTCTTTACTTGCTTTTGAAACGAAAACTAAGATGGAGAATGACGAGAAAGAGGGAGGAGACCCCAAGGGGAAAGAAACGAAAAGCATCTTTACCGATATCAAGGTTTTGGATGAATGCGAAAAGTGGAACGCGAGTTTCAAATTGGTGGTTATACACGCGCAGAAACCGGTAGTGGTTAGGAGGAGAACTAATAGTGTTTGAGTTTTGCTCTATTAAACAAGATATGATTAATGAATGAAAGAATGGGAGAATCAAAGAATGGGAGAGGGGAAAAATTTAAAAAATTTCATGAGATGGTTGGATGGGTGCGAACCCGATTTTTTTGTATACAGGTTTTTCTCTTTTTTTTTCTTGGATTCGATTCGATTCGGATGGAGGTCACCGGTTGGCTTATTGATAATGATGTGCGATCTGAGATTGCGGGTTTGGTTATTTGGGGCTTGGATGGGATGGGGGTGGGTTGGAATTGAATAGTATGGGGTGAGAGGAGGTGGATGAGAGAGAGCGGGGGAGATACATGGATTATGAATTATAATGAGTTTATGAAGTTTGCTATTCTATTTGTTTTGTAAGTTGTTTGGGTGGTGGAGATGGTGGTAGTGGTGCAGGTGGGGGAGAGTAATGTTGTTATATGGAGGAAGGGGGAGAGCGGAGTGGAGATGGAGTGGTTGTGGATGTGCATGTGGATGTGGTTGTGGATATGGAAAGGGGGAAGGGAAAAGTGGGAAGGGTAAAGTGGGAAAAGAGATTTATAGGGAAGAAATTGATTCATTGATTGATTGTTATGTATTGAAATATGAGAGATGAGGAATGAGGAAAGAGGAAAGAGGAAGAGAAGATACTCGGTTAGTGAGTTTGGTGTAGATGCCTATATATCCAGATAGGAAAATAAATCAATAAATCTATTAATTAATCAATTGTTTGTTAGTTGATATGAGTGAGTAGAGGCGAGGTGTATCTGAGTGAGTAGAGTTGAGGTGGATCTGAAGTTCTTGATAACCTTGCTTTCTTACTTTTTTTAAGGAATGTTAGTAGTAATTGTGTGAACAAGGGTATTCACTTTAAAGAAATAACTTCAATATAACAACTATTATATCAAAAGTATCTAGGTAAATACAAAAAAGACTAGCTTTTTTAATAGTGTCTATATAAAGCCTACTATTTTCCCAATTAGCTAGCTCTTTAGATTAAATACAAATAGATATTTAGGGGTCTATTGATAGTAGGAATTATATCTTCCGTATCTCTTTTAAACCAATTGTAGTAATAATAGTAATATTAGTAATAGTAATAATAGTAGTAATAGAAATCAAAAAATAAGCTCGGTATGGTATCACGTGATCACATATTAACCCTAACGACGCGAATATTTAAGCGAAAGCGAATAATACTCGTAAGAAAGGGGAGGGGAATGAAGTTTTTATAAAATGAAAATCACTCTTTGTTTAATTGTTGTGATTTTTAATATAGTGATATAATATTATTCTTGTAGTAATCTATTAAAGATCTATTCGTTAGAGGTGGTTATATCTGTAATGTGGATTTGAGCTCTGAGAATTAGAAATTAGGATTATTTGAAAGGTGGATTATATGATTGGTTTTGTTGTTGATGAGTTATATGATTTTAGGAATTTTTCGAATTTCTTTTTGATCTTTTATAGTATTTTATATTTTATTATTTGAACTCTAGTTTTCTGTTACAAGTATATATATATAGTAGTAAGCTATTAGAACTTCGATCCCTGATACTATGTCTTTTGAATAGATTGCGTGCGTAGCGTAATAGTAAAGCTTATAACTCCTATTGTATCCGCTTACGTAACATTTTCTGTAATTCTTGATAAGATTCTTAATAAGTTATTTATCAATTTTTATTTATTCATTAGATTTCTTACTATTAGTTGATTAATTTAAGTAAATGAATATTATAGTTGAAAGACCTCGGAAAAGCTAGATATATATCTATCGCTAGATAATTGAAATTTCAGATATTAGAAAAAAAGAAAAAGTAAATACAAAGTAAAGAAATTCTATTCTTCTCTTTCTCCTTTTGCTCTATCTTTTTTCCATCAGCCAATCACCTATTATTTCTAATTCTTTTTTACATATAATATAGGAGTAATAGTCAGTTCGAATTATTTCAATATCAATCTTGTCATTAATAAAAATGACATGCAGATGTCTGTTTTAGTTCTATATCTTAAGCGATATATAATCGAAAACTAGGTAAATACTCGTAAGGAAAGAAGAGGGATAACCTCTTACCTCAAGCGCACTTTCCAACAGGATATCTCTCTTGCTTTAGACTCCATGTATAATACACACGAATATACCTAGTAAATACGTAGAATCCGCGGTATCTTTTTATTCGATTTGTATCATGATGGGTCGGTTATACGCAATGTGCATCGTGGATACGTAACTATATATTGATACTGATAAAGTGCGTTGCTTGCGTTTACTTTAAATTTATATTAGTGAGTGATGCAGTCTCATTTTCTGAGTACGCGATACAAGATTACTGGCATATATTACTTCACACATTGATTGCATTGTTTTCAATCTAATAAAAAAATCACAGTTTCATTGTTACCTAGTTGATGTTATCATGACACTAAATCCCATTCCGTAATCGCATTTGACGCAAACCAAAATTCGAAATATCAGGAAAATTGAAACATATTCTTAACGTTCTTGGAACTCGCTATATTCGGATCCCCGAGATGATATTTGAGCATGTGCTCCATCCTGTGCTTGAGGGTAAGACTGATTGTACATAGCCTGCTGTGATTGAGTAACGGGTATCGGCATCTGACGAGGAATAGCGTTGATCTGACCGGGAGTTGTTTGAGGGGCTGTTTGCTGCCATCCTTGCTGCGAATATTGATTTGGATGTTGTTGTCCTCCATGAGATTCGTGAACTATACTAGGTTGATTGTAGGGGGTATTAGACGGTGCCAATCTGGTTGGTTGATTGTAACTATATGTCTCTTGTTGTGCTCCGCCGAATGATCCGCCTCGGGCGGGCCCGTGGCCCATTTGTTGGTAGGGTGAGGGACCCCGGGGAGGAAGATATCCGTTGCCTTGGTACATGACATTGGTGTGTTGATTTGTGGGTTGGAATTCGGTGTCGCGATATTTTGACTCCGAGTTTTCCTTTTGGTGACCTTTGGAAGATCGATTCAATTCTTCTCGAGCGCGAAGTTGGTTTTCCTCGGCTCTCTTGTCACCCTCCGTACCGAAGACTTCCCCGAGATATTTTGCAAAGGCTAGATATGCTTTCTGAACTGTTGTAAAGTGACCCTGTTTCAAATGCACCTTTGTACTATTGTCAATTTCCACGGCAAGAGATTTGTTGAGAGCATCGAATTCAGCAAGGGCTAGAGCTGTTTGTGAGGCATTGCGAATTTGTCGTCCATTCCATCGCGCATGTTTGTGTTCGTCGTAATGTTGTTTTGCGAAGCTTAGAACAGCGGAATCGTCGAATTCCAATTCTCGATTTTGAGCCTTGAAACGGCTTTCGATGAGCTCAAGGTTGAGCTTGAAGACTTTCTCCGTCTGCTCTCGATTGAGCTCCGGGTAGTATAAACTCATATGGATTCTGGAAGCGAACGCCTCATCAAAGTCGCCAACTCGATTCGTAGTGAGAAAAAGTATACCCGCATAGTACTCTAGTACTCTTAGAAACACTATTGTCTCTTAGTACACCAGAAATAGGCTCATGTATATCTCACTCCATCCTGTTGTGGACTCACCCGCTACTAAGCCATTCCGTATGAAGTCTTTGCGCTCTCGCTGAGCAAGGAAAACATCTGCTTCATCCAGTAAAAGAACACAACCCCACCGACTTGCAAGGGCAAAATTTCTCTCCAATTCCTTCTCCACTTCATGTGCGGTGGTACCTAGATCTCCTGGTTTTATTTCAAAATTCAATGTCAGCTGTTGTAAAAGCTAATATCAATTAAAGGGTAGCATTCTAACCACAAGTAATTTGAAATAGAGGTCTCTTGAATGATTCCGCTACACCCTCTATTGAGATAAATTAGTACATCTTATTGAAAGATCTCTCGGAATAGACACTGCAACATACCAGCCGTCGTAGTCTTTCCGACCCCTGGGGCACCATGAAGGAGTATAATAAGGCCCTTCCCTGAAAGTACGAATCAGCAAATTACTTGAGCAAGTGGCTTATTTCAAACTCCGTTCTTTCGAAACTCACCTTTTCCTCGAACAAGATCGTATTGCTCATCTCGAACAGAGGATGTCTTCTTGTCGCGAAAATGCTGGGTAACCAATGCCTGTACTACGTCCTTGTGACCTTCGGGAAGGACGAGACGTTCGAAAGCTGTTTGCACCGTTTTGTTGTTTGCTTCATTCTCGTAACGTAGATATTTGAGGTCAAGTTTGGCTAGTAAAGATAAAAGTGATTAGTATTCCGAGAAAAAATCGAAATTAAAAAGGGTGGATTGTGTGTACACCCCACTTCCGGGTTCTCAAAACAAACCCGAAAACTCTGAAGGTCATAATAGCAAGTTCATCTTTGGATGGTTCATTACCACCACTTATCACTTCCTGCAATGTTCGAGGGTATATCATCAAAGATGGGTGCTGAGATGAAGTTTCTGGAAGTAAGCTTTGAACAAAATCTTCTGCACGGTACCTGTCGACTTGAGCATCTTCATATACGGATTGGTTCCTACAACACAAGGCTTGACAGTTTTGTTCCCGTGTTGACGTACTTTTATCGACAGTTGTTGTCACTAGTTGAATATCCGGAGCCCAGTGTTTGCGGTGTTCTTCAGCCAGTGCCTCATTGAAGTCGATTACCACCTGGCTATCCACCTCATCTTTGGTATCTACAGTCATACCCATGTAATACATAGATTTAACGGTCGTTATGTCCAAAAGCATCCTACCACGCTCAATGAGTTGATCTCGATCGATCTTTTGGCGAGCGAATCGAAAGGGGAATATCGGTAGAGATCTAATTGGCTTTTCGCCATCGTACCGCGAGATAGAAAATTCGACGGATACTGGGCCCAAAAACTTCCCATCAAAATCAATGTAAACGCAATATATTTGGAAAGGCTTTTCTGAAGACTCTTCATCAGAATTTTTGTAGAATCTTCTTGCCCATGAAGGAGTGGAATCGTGAACAGGAGTCTCAACTCGGATAACTCGGAACGCCTGTCGCTCGGCTTGATCAATGACTTCATCGCCTGGTTTGTAAAGATGCCAAAGATCATTGAATGATATATCCTGGAAAGTGTTTCCATTTAGGAGATTCAATTTCGGTTGTATCTTGGTATCTATAAAATTAAGGACGCAGCGCAGCTGCAGTGCCTCCCTAATATCATTGTTGTCAACACCTTCACCTTCTCCAGGGATATGGTCATCTTGCTTGCTAGTCGGTTGAGTATTCTCAGGCTGAAGAATGTCTGTCTGACTCGCTGATATCGTTTCATCATCATTTTGGGGTGAACATGTTTTCCTTTCATCCTTTTTGCTTGACTGATTCTCTTCTAGCTTCGCCAACCTATCTCGTATTTTCGTTTCGCAATAGAGAAGAATCTTGTATGGTCGCAGGATAGTGATTCCAACATCAGTGTAATCCATGGAGGCAAAACTGTCGGATATAACGGACAAATCATCAAAAAGAGACTTAGAAACAATCTTGATCCTTTCAGGAAGAGGATCTTGTACCCCAAGATTGTCTTTCCTGGCAATTGCCTTCGTTTCTTGGGATTGCTTCATTGTCACATCCGATTCATTTGGCAAGACCACATATTTCTTGAATCCAATGCCTACTTCCGGTTCTCCAACCAAGACTTGGATTGGATGCAATATGGAATCTTGGCCTTTACGTAAAGCACTAAAAGATTTCCAGTCCATATACTTCGGGGTTAATGCTTCACCCTTCATAACGAGTTGAGAAATTAACAGTTTCTCTTCCGTTTCAACGTCTGAAGTTGAGCCATTTTTGAGCTGAACTGTTTCCTCATCACTTCTGACTGGGATTTCCGCGGCCTTTCGCTCCCTTTCACGTTTCCGGCGCATTATTTTCCTCCTCGTAATTCTATGGATGTCTTCTAGAAGGAGATTTCGATATTCCTGTTCTGAGTCTGAACTTTCATCAATATCTTTGATGTCATAGCTCAGACTGGATTGTTTCTCTTGACTTATGCGCTGCATAAAGCCATCCATGAACGCAAGTTTCTGCTCAAACGCCTGAAGCTTTTCAAGAACCTGCTGATGTTGTTCACGGGGTACGAAGTCTGACATCCCGTTCTGCACATAGGCAGGAGTTTTGTCACCGATATCTTGATTTTTTTGTACAGAGATCATCTCATCATGGCCTTCAGAGCTGGCATTGCCTGAATCTGTATCAAGAACAGCTGGTGGCGTTTCATCGGGAATAAAGTTGGATGGTTCCATAATGCATGAAAAATGATCAATGTGCACAGTAGAATGTAAGAGAAAGGATAAATCCGAGTTCAATTCATATCAATGTTCCTGGAGTGATGAGAACGACCGAAAACTTAAAGATCAAGAGAATCTATGTACTCGCAGTACTTCTCTTTTCAATCCGAAGCGCTGTAAGATCAAGATAAATATTTTCGTGTAGGTGGGATTGCATTTATGCAAGATTAATGCAGCATATCAGCTGAGAAGCAGTCACTTCCAAATCAATAACTACAGCCTGTTTTCAGCGAATAGATTTTCCCTGTAGGTAGCCAATCTCACATACTCCTGCCAAATCCGTCTTTTGGGACATATCGGCAGAACACCCATGACCTGTTTGGACCAATGAATGAAAGTAAACGCGTAAGGAGTATCGACCAATCATGGCTTGTACCAAAATTTAAGTGCGGATAATCAAATAATGGAATCAAACCACAAGAATTCGATAATCAGTCTTCAGAATCCAATTTTTTAGTCTTTGTTTCTCTGCCTACGATGGATAATCACTTAGTTCAAGACGTTCCCACCCCGCGGCTTCATCTTCATTCTCCTGCCGTGGATTTTGTAGAAAACAGACTCCCTCAATACCATCCTGCCTTCGACCAATCAAATATGAGCCTTGATCCAGTATTACATCGATTTGTCGATGCCTCATCAATTGGCGTTATGCACTTGCAGCCTTATGGAAACCAGCATGTACAGCCGACACCTCGGCCACTACCACCTAAAGTCGAGACAATGAAGTTCTGGGATAAGATTTTCCCTTCAGCTATGAAATTCCTAAGAGCTTGTGAAGAGCCGTACGATCACAGGAAATCTGAATTTGAAATCCGAACCTCTCAAACGTGGGCAGAAATCTGTCGTCGTCTGGGAAATGCAAGAGAAATCTATGAGCATCGAGTCGCAGCAAACAAGGCTGAAAAGTTGATCAACAAGGCAAGAATAGGATTGAGAACAGGCATGGACAAAGGTGCTGGTCCGCTTAAGCAGGCAGCTCAATTTGTTCCAGATATAGACATTGCCAGTCCGATTATTGGGGCAGTCAAAGTGCTTTTCGGTGTGAGTTGGGTCTATATCATAACATTCAAGTGACATGGAGTTATTAATTAGTTTAACTAGGCATACCAAAATGCAATGAAAGTCCGTGAAGTAATCAATGATGGTTTCGACGATCTTTCCACTGGCATAGCGTTTATCGACATCGACTTTTACGTCACCCAATTTCCAAATGACCCAAACATTATCAAGGCATCTGAGGATTTAGTCCTTGCCATATTCAAGGCCGTTGAGCACGCAATTGGATTTTATATAGGACATCAGAGTAAAGTTGCCAATTGACATTATTATTAACGTGCGCAAATGATGAATCTCGCTGACCCTTGCCGTAGTTAAGAGAGCTATGTCGGCCGTATTTGGAGGTGACAGTTATCAAGAACGTTTGAAAAATAGTCTCAGTGATATAAAAAGTTGTAGCCGATTGCTCAAATGCGAAGGAGAGAAATCCGAGTTCCATTATAACAGCGAATCTCGCCGACAAGACAGACAAGAATCGGCGACAATGTCATATCAATTAAATGCGACAAACCAGTTCCTTTATTTGTTGTTCGAAAGTGAAAGACGTGAGGATTTATATCTTGGAGAATATCTTTGTGGTTGCTGACCAAAAGTTACAGGGCATTATCAATCACTCGCCGAACAAATATACACTATCTCGAGAGCACCAAGCCCACAACCTGTGATTCAAGCTATATATACCCCCAAACATATCTGGAAAATGCTTCGCATTCCCAAACTAGACGATGTTGATATATCGCATAATATGAGTCGAGCAGCAAGCTTTCTACCTGAGGACAATGGTCGCGCAGAGCAGCTTGTCGGTACGACACAATTTCAAACATGGATTTTAGATCACAGAATGAACAAGTTACTAGTCCACGGTGACTTTGGCATTAATAAACCCGAATCACCATTCTCGGTGCTCTGCGCCAAGCTTATGCAAGCGTTGCGTTCTCAGTCTGGTTTTATCAGTCTTGTGTTCTTCTGTGGATGCCATCGAGCACCACGTGATCACCACTCAGGGCCACTGAATATGATTCGAAGTCTTGTTGCGCAGGTTCTAGAACAATTTACGCAGATTCCTGATACGCTCGTGAATGATGTGAATCTTGCCAGCGTGGACGCTGGAGAAATCCAACATTTGTGTACACTATTCGTGTGTCTTGTCAGACAGCTTCCTGCGACGACCACAATCGTCTGTATGATTGACGGCATACAATTCTATGAGCAAGATCAGTATGAGAATGATATGGAGGTGGTGCTAGTTTGTCTACTTAGTTTAGCTGACAATGAGGACCCGAGCATAAGCGTCAGGTTCAAAATACTCTTAACAAGTCCTAGGCCAACAACACGAGTGCGAAGGCGTTTTCAGATCGGTATTTCATTGTTAAATATGGCCTCTGTCACGTCTAATGAGCAAGGTCCAAGTCAGGCACGGCTTGAGCGTCAACTGGCGAGTTCCGGTTTTTCAAGATAAAGAAATTGGGATGAAGCTTCAGATCTAAACTATCATGACTTGTTGATGGATTTCGTTGAAGGACTAGGGTGATTAAAGGTGCTAATTTTCGATGTACACTCTTCATCTCAAATACGAGAATTCTTTTAAATATTACAATAGTAGGCGAGCGCGTGTATCATTGTCGCGTGACACAACGCGCTAATATACCTCCTCGAAGCAAAAGAATCTCAACTCGGAAAATGATTCTCGGAAACACCATCAACACCAACACATCAATTCAACCAAGCACAAGAAGAATCCAACCCAAAAATCTAATCTATCAAGACCCAGCTCGCGGACATGAATCCCAACCAGAAACCCTCTCATCATCTGCCGATGTAAAAGGCACTGTTGCCAAGCCTGCTACCGATCTTGGCAAACTTCTTGTTACCACCACCAATTCTCTTGTTACTATGGATCCGCACATAGAGTCAGAGCTTCTTGGAATTGATAACAGGAGTACTGTTGATCAAATCAATGTTCTCGAGGCTCATGTTGTTACTTTGGAAGAAAGAGCTTCGATGTTACAGGAGAGGACAGAGAGATTAGACTCTGTTAATGAGGTTTCGACGGCAGAAGTTACTTATGACGCTAGGAACAGAGGATTGTTGTTACCGGCAACTCAATCTGCTGTTGCAGAGAAAGAGTCACTGTCGATTGAGAGATGTAAGTTTTTAACCTTTGAATTGCTTTTCATGACTAATTAATTGTAGCTATGGTACCTGCGAGATCTGCGAGAAGTTGTGGGAGAGGCCGTAAGAATCGTTCAAAAGTTACACACGCATCCGATCTTCCTGGTGATCATCTTCAACATGATTGTGTTAACACTCCTGTCACAGCTCCTGTTACGCCTCTCGTTACCCCTTCTCAAACATTTATCGACATGTCTTCCGATGTTACCTCTCCTTTTACTACCGCTCTCGTTGTTACTGTACCAAACAATAGCAGCCCCCCCTGTTGCCATTCCTGCATTTGTGGAAGAGGATCGATGTCCTCAAAATGCAGAAGAGGAAGTCATCTACGAAGCTTGGATCCGCTGGCGAGTCTTGAAATTTTTCGAATTTGCAGAACCTGTTCGAGTAAATGCTTAAGATATTGATGTTTCGGAGACCAAAACTGCTGGTGTCATGTCATAATGTGTTTTTATGGGGTGAATTTGAACAATTGCAAGCATGATGATTAAACTATAAACCATATTCCACCATTATTTTGGTATGTCTTCATGTGTAATGTGCGAACAACCTGGAAGGGATTATCAAAGTGCGCAATATATACACCAGTGGGTGCACGGACTCACTGAAGAGGGAAAGCACAATTTCATATCAAAAAGAGCTGTTTTGATAATTCAATTAAAACTCAAAATTTCAATGAATTTACTGGAAATTTAAAAATATAAATCTAAATCATAAATTTTTTAAATGATTTTAAAAATGAATTGAAAACCCCAACATTGATATTTTTATAAAAGAATATATAACTTCTCACTAAAAATTTTGGTAGGAAAACGCACTATTCGTTTTCTAAGCTCAAATCTCAATTTCTTTAGATTATTTTTGACCCAATTACTTTTTCAAGCTTGAAAAACTATATATTCTAATTTCAAGAGAACTTGATAATAGATTGAATTTAAATCGAATTATTAAAATCACTTTTTTGATATGAAATTGTGCTTTCCTGTCACGTTGCCCCGTGAGTCCGTGCAACCACTGGTGATGTAAGCTCACATTTGAACCATCATCTCGTATTATAGAACCAGTCAATATGATAACAAGTATCTCATCACTCTCAAATCTACTTGTATCTTTCAATACCCGATGATTACCAACGATTTTCCAAACCTTGAAAAAAAGAATCATCGAAACTCATCTTGATATAGATCCAGCAAGCAAGAGATAATTTGAAATGCTTGTGGCATTTTGGCTAATTCTGCCTGTTGTATAGTATCTGAGATTCCTTCCAATACGAAATAAGCCTCTAGTTCCATAATCTACAATCTGATATTCGTCTTCCCTCCTCTGTATTGTTGGACTGACCCTGGAAAGATATGCCTTTTGGGAGAAGAGAATTAGAAAACCGTGACTTAGATTAAGAAGCGTTGAATATGATTTGGGACACTTTTGATTTGCTTACACGGTCTTGCGGTGAGAAGAACTATTGTGGTTCATTTTGCACCTTGTGATTGTAGTTTTAGTAATCTCATAATTATGCATACAAAGACAGACGCTTCTCAATTCCAGCACAAGAAATCAATGATTTGACCGCTCTAACTCATGAGACAACGATAGCCCTATATGTTTTCGCGAAACCAGCGGTTTTTCAAAATTTCTTATACTCAGCAGGCAATTCATCTGGAATGACCTCTCAACGCGAATTGTCTCGTACCTGACTGGAACGCCGTGGAGAGTATACTGTAGTAAGTACGCATGCGTGCTCTAAGATTGAAGAAGACAGATGATATGAAGAAGACATAAGGGCTGCGGACGAACAATTGTTCGTGAAAGCAGAGAAAGTGTAACGCTTTGTGGACCAAGCATTACTGATGGTGAGCAAAGAATCGACAGTGGGCTATAAACTAACAACCACAGCTCAAGGATGGCTTGAACTACAGAAAGAGACTGATAAAGCAGCCTCACTTCGCACATCTTTATCTGCGTCTTGACAAGCCTCTCCACTTGTTTGAGCCATCCAGCAGAATAGATTTAGCATCAAATTCTAAGCCGCAGCTCTAGCCAATTCTTCTGCATATCGCCATGTCAATCCATCATCTCCACCATGCTGCACGGCAATCCACTTGCATCTATCTTGCAGTTAAGTATTTACTGATACCTCGTTCACTCTTCTTTTTTTGGTGACTGAACAAAATAGTAGCTGAAGCTGACATGCTTTACCACAGATTGCTATTATCAAAATCAACAACTACCATTAACTTCTATCATCTAGATGCATCAATAGCCCAGATCTTTTTACAACCAGCTGCAAGAATAACCAGGCAGGGCTGGCAGACTACAATCACAGACACAAGCACTGGCGTGGGTCTTATTGCTAGTAATGTGAGATGAGGTACAAATGAGATGGATCTACGAACATCAGCGCCTGTCAATTCATGCAGGCAGTCTGCGAGGAATCTGCTGGAAGGAATTATTGTCTCTGTAAACACCAAACTCGGTTTTATGTACTTCAACTAACTTTTATACAACGACAGGTCAATACAAGCGCTATTATATATGCAGTTACCCGTGTTTCAAACCTTGTTGATACGAAATTTCGAACTCTATCCACCCATTTTTGCCTCGGTTGTTCATGTGCTAGACGAGCAAGCAAACTTAATAAAAGCTTAATGGTGGTAAGTACGGGAGGAACCACTATTACATGTCGAAGACGAGCAAATATTGCTAGTGAGAATGCCGGCTGAGAAAATGCTTTCATTGCAGACACTTCCAATAAAGAGAGGCAGTTTCTAATTCAGTCGATGAACGGAACAATTTGAAGACACTGCTGAGGGTATTTGGCCGGCTCAAGTGAAGGCAACGAAGATACAAGACAAGATTGGATGCTCTTATGGAGAATATTGTTGAGTGCTATATGTTCGTGGCGGAAGTACGATTGTGCGAAATTTCCTACGAATGCTTTGTGTGTGAAATACTCAAAATAAACACGTCTCTCTGCACAGCGTTCCGCAACACTCCATGTGCCTATGACCGCGTTCGTTCACAATACCTCTCTTGCCACTTTCTCACATCTGTCATTACTCCAATTGAGTTTCCAACCAGGAAGTGTTAGTTTCTGCCTACTAAGGACTTTTGGATCTACACTGGTAGATCTTTACTCATTCTAAGCTTACCTAAGTTTATCCTTGTGTATAATAAGGGAAGTAAATAGATGTCGAATGAAGTATCTATTTGCTACGAATGGTCGAAATCAAAGGATGGATACCTTGGTACTAACGCCGGAGTTTTAGCAGTGTCTATGAGTCCAGAGTTTAGAGTACGTTATGGTATATTCAGGCAAAATGGGTGAATCATACGAAGCAATAGCAGCATTTACAAAGACCAGGTTTTGATCAGGCGAGACTTGGAAGAGCAGTCGAGGCTAGAAGCTATGTAGGCCAATCATGGCCATTCAATCTTGACTCTATGATCTATACATCATCCGCACTCATTCAGCATTGATGAATGAAGAAATATGACTTGTAGAGCACTAAATTCGCTAAGAGCTCACTAGGGACCTGCCGTATACCATCGACCGTACATGGTCCTAGCTCTCAATGAACCTCCAAGTATTTAATTCTCTACATTTCTCCTCCGCAACTTATACATTCCATTTACATTCTTGATTACGACAAACCATTCTGTGTTAGCATCACTTCAATACATCATGGCTGGATTAAAGAATGAGTTCATCTCAGGCTTGGATGTACCGAATAATCCTGCAATAGAGACCGCCAGAGTCATGAAGAATCATGGCCACCCTTCATCAAGGGACAGTATCAACGAGTCTGGTAATTCTATCATTACAGTCGCAAACATGCAAACCACAAACGACTTGCACGAAGATATCACTCATGAGAAGAACGCTACTACCGAAGAATCAACCGTTAATTTGGAACTCACTGAAGGACCTCTTGTATGCCCATGGGGCAACACTTCACCGGATTTCTTGTTGAAGAACGACTCTGCAAGCAATGGAATGCGGTACAGAAAGCTTTACCTTAGGAATTTCTTGTGGGGTGAACACTTTTCTACTTGGGTCGAGCTTGAAAGAAGATCATCTCATGATACATTTACATGCTTTCCCAGACTTCCTCATGAACTACGTAGAAAGATATGGCTTCACGCACTTCCAGAGCCTCGCACAATAAGTCTTCATTTGGCCACCGACTATCATTCATATCGTATCCCATGGTCCGATGATTTAAAGTCCCATCTAATTACAGCAACTCTTTGTTTTGACGATGATTCAAGTGCGAATTTATCATCAGACTGTCTCTTATGGATATGTCGAGAATCCTCCGAGATATTTTTGGAACATTATCGTCGTCCTCGAGGAGTTAGACCTGTAGATGGCAAATACCATTGCCCAGATGGGAGACAACAAGCCGCCTGTGTACGAGTTCAAAGCAAAGGCTGGATTGACTTTGAGGTGGATACTCTAGTTGCCAGGAATCTCGAACACACTTTTTACGAGCTAGCGCGGCTTCAAAGCCGCCCAGATCTCTCCGCAATTACCAATCTTACCATCTCTGAAACCCCACTTTACGAAGCTTCCAACGACCCATGGTGGACGAATACTGTTCCATTTCTCATAGAAGAGCAATTCCCTAGACTGAAGCACCTGTCTTTGATTGCTAATCATGCCGAGGAGGCTGTCGAATGGAAATATTCAAGGGGTCATTTCGGTCCTTTGGCAGTTGTAAAAGCAACAGACGTCAACTTCATGAACGAGCTAAAGCGTGTCCTACAAATTGACCGACTTAGCATATTCGATATGGATAATGAAGAATTTACGGATTCTGGACAGAAGGACGCAGCTCTTGCAAATCCAAAGGTATTGGAAATGCAATTTCTCCATGGAGCAAACATGAGCTACTGGAAGAATGTCGAGGTTACTCTAGCTTTTCTGGTACATTGGGAGAAAGACGGAGAGGCGTTACCCTTTGATGGATTACAACCAGCATGCGAAAACCATCTTCACTTCACCTTTTCTCCGTATCCTACTGGCAAAATGCACATACGTTGGTGGGGACAAGAGTATGTCATTCCAACTGATGAGGACGGAATAGCTAATGGTGAATATTGGGGTGTCAGAGAGCTCTTTGATGACCATGAAACATCCGACAGACCCAAACCCTCGCAATGGCCATGGAATTATGGATATGATATAGTAGTTAGTAGGGGATCCTGTTGGGTCCAGAAGCAGACATAGCTAGGCGATGATTTTATCTAAACATCGAGACTTACAATGTTCGACAGAACCGATGTCAATCGGGTCTTGTGCCGATAATTTCGGGGATAGAGCCATCTTTCCATTATACTACCCAGAAATAGGCTACCTATTTAAGGTTCTTATAAGCAGATAGATAGTGCTCTTAGAGTCTTCATCTTCAAGCTAGCTTACATTTCAAAATAGAGATGCGCGTTATCAATTCTACAACCAGCTCAAATACCGTGAAATATTTTCGTTCATAAATAGTGACTTTTGAGTGAATCATCAATGTAGTAACCTTGGAATGTAATGTTCTCTAAATTCCGTGGGAAATAATATCGCAAGTCTAAAATCAAAAGCATAGAACATACCTAGACTTATAGATTATTACGAAACTAATATTACAACACTCGAGCTTGCGCCTAGAGCGCTCGCTCTGTCAGCCTCGTACAATTGATCGTTTTATTTCATATACGGAAAAAATCATCCCAAGGCTTCATCTACCCTTTTCTCAAGCTTTTCTATTGATTTGTCGAATAAATTCTTCTCTCTACAAGACTGCACCATATCCGGCTCAAGAACTGTATACCTGATATGCTCCTGTACGGTCATGTCCATATTAAGCTCAGCGACGGTAGCAACAGCTGGAACTATCATAATTCTCAACTCCGTGTCTTCATCGAGGAAGAGGTGGCTAGGATCTTTGAGGGAGTGAATGTTACCTATCTACTTTCTTTCCTTCCTTTATATATCCGGAGTAGTAGCATTATGCTTTTATGTATGCAACAGTCAGTCATTTCGGGGGATATCAAGGGTAATCCATGAATAGCTAGTCGTGAAGTTGACCCTTTGGCTTGGGCTTTCCAATATTCAGGTTTAGGATGTAGAAAGCATCGATAGCAACGAGATTAAGGTGCATGCACCAGAAGCTGTAGGATTTATGGCGGAAGATTTTGATATATGTGTTGGTCAAGGTAATGCAACGATGCATTACTGTGGGGTGATTCATTTATATTTTGGGTGCTGAATGGTCTTTTCGCTTTGATTTTACTGTGCTTATTCATCTAAAACTCGACCAAAAAGTTGTGTTTCACAGCCCTCCTTCTATTCATATCAAATTTCAAGTTGTCTATTTGAAAAGCGCCTCGGTGACAAGAGACGGTGAAGAGCTATAGCTTGCAATGATCTTAAAAATTGTGACAGAAGATTATGGATAAATGAACTCGGTAAAAGGATTGGCTCTGATAGTTGGGTACGTCTAGAGACAATGTGATGGTCTTAGAGCAGAGCAGTATTAATTTGCCTTTATTAATAGGCCTGTCTTGATCGACGTATAATTTTCAACGTACCTAGGTAGTTCCTATCTCAGATATGGGACAACCAAAAGGGATGATTGTCGGAATATCGACCATGCGATCATAGAGAAGGCACTATTTTAGTCAGCGAGTCGCTAGCTCTTCCTTGTATGAGTACTAGCCTCCCATAATTGATGTGATTAGATAAGAACGATTACAATTATGATAAACTGAAGTACTTTATACTTATTGACCATACTAATAACAACAAAATTCATCACTACATACGAAGTATAAACTCAAGCTGATTTGACCAATCAGCGTGGTAGAAAATAAGATACGTCTCGTTACATTTGGACGTTACACAAGATACCTAGGTACATCATATACTGCTTCGGGGAGTGAAAAATATCCTCTAGGCATGAATTTAACATCGGATAAATAATTTGTATTCGGAATGTGCCGTACGAATAATCTGATACAATTGTACGGATAATGCTCAGTACTATATCAGTTGCTTGAGTTTCTGAGAAATTACAACTTACTTCTAATCACAGCTTCCAATAAACTGGAAAAAGTTTGCAGCAATAAACCAAATCCTACAAGTACACACTTTCAGCTATGGAGGGTGCTACTTTCCCGCCAGAGAGATCGCAATCAAACGACCAGAAATCCGAAGTAATTTTAATCAATACTATTACAACTGCATCAGAACAGCTCTCGCTGAGAGAGAATATTTGTGAGGCTGAGGTGGCAGATCTAAAAAGCTCGGGTAAGGAACATTAATCACTACCCGTCCATCAGTAACGCTAATACCTTTACTTTCAGAGGATTGGGAGATAGTCGGGTATCTTAATAGAAACCAAATCGATCAAATCAACGGTATGGGTCCAAAATCGGATCAAGAGACACTCAAAGCATACAAAGAGATAGAATGGCCTAATCTTTACTTCAAGACTTTTACTTGCTTTTCAGGGCTTCCGCTTGAGCTTAGACGTAAGATCTGGTTCCTTGCTCTACCAGAGCCACGTCTAGTAAGTTTTGAGTTGTACCCAAATTCCGGGGCAGGGCTGAATCGAAGGCAATATCAAAAATTCATCAGTTTTGCCATCATGGATTATACTCCGACTACAGAGGACGCCAAAAACAAAGAAATGAGCCTCGATATTCGTCCATTCTTTTTGACATGCCATGAGCTCAAAGATGTATTCCTGGAACATTACAAGAGCTTCGATATCCATACCCAGATATCCGCTGATGGTAAATGTCTTTATACGCCGCCCACGCTACCCACTTACTCGACTATATGTCATGTGAGTATGGAAAGTCCTCCGAGTCAATGCTATATTGATCCTAAAGCCGACTGTCTGAAACTTAACAACCTCGCAGAATCAATAGAGATTCTTTCTAGCATCGGCATAACCTTGAATTTCTCGGCTTTCCGACATATTGCAATTGCTAAGTACTCAAATCACGGCAATGGGAGCCTTATTTTGGAATCAACCTGGAAGGCCATTGAAGATAACTTCCCTCAACTTGAAAGTGTCACTCTCAGCGGAAATTATGGTGGCGCCGCTGTAAACAAATTGCCAAAGGGGATGCAAACCCTTACTCGTTTTCACCCCCTGACCGGAGACACCATGGGCGAGTTATGCAGGCAAACGATTTGCCAAGATTCTCATGGACTGGAGACCCCTAATGCCTGGATTGCCAATGTTCAGCACATGGACATTATCTCTACGACAGCCTACGTAACCAGGAAAAGCTTCCTCGAGCGAACAATTAACAATAGTACCTATTGGAAGGGAGTTGATTTCTCCATATCTTTATGGATGGAGCACACATTGCATCGTGCGAAAGATTACATTCAATTGAAACCAAGAGAACCAATCGAAGGAGATCAAGACACTATCTACTACACTCAAGCAGTCGGAAAATTTGATATCGGGAGCGCATACTTGAAGCGTTCGGGTGGAATGTCGTTTATGGACTGCTATGCAGATGGCACATTGTTCAACTCTGAGGAGGCTAGGGAGAAGGGCCACGAATTTGATGAAACAGGTCAAGGTGTTGGAAGCAAGTATTTGACGTGGCCATGGAATCGCCTGTCTTTAGGAGAAAATGTTTCATATGACAATTCTCGATTCAAGAACCATGTTTTTGGGGTCTGTAGAAGTTTCGCTTAGCTGGAGGACACCAGGTGAATGTGTAGTAATGGTACATCACTGGTGTCGAGATAAATGAATCCTAACATCTCAAACAGTTTTTAGTTAGTTATGAATTACAATTGAGCTCATCTCCTCATTAATACACTGGCTGTAGAAAATTAAGTATGTGCACCCTTGATATCCCGGAGGTATTCGGTAAATGTCATAGTGTCAACTACCTAGGTAGGTAGGTAGCGTGTGAAACTCGACATAGTGACAAGATGCCTACAAAGACTTGTATGTTTCTGCCTCTTTGACAGTCTTTTTGCATAGATTTTCATCCTATAATTCCAAATTTTCATTCAACTCACTGTCATCAAGTAGGGAGCTATACACGTGACCTGCAACCCATTTAGTTGACGCTCTTTCGGCTCCTTCTGCCTTGTTTGTAGTAGCTCACATATGTTATCTGTAACTATTCTTTGAATTGTGTTTTTCATGCTCTCGGGAAAGCACCCAGCTTGATCGATTCTCACTTGCGGACTGTGAAATTTTTAAGATCATTCCATGGCCATTTATCATAGTCATATCTTGTGGCCGATTCATATCCCTCATGCTGCTCCTTCTCGCCACAACTTTTGTAAAATGATCCATCGTAGTATACTGGCAAGTTATCCTTCCAATGGTCAAAATATAGGCTTATGGTACCACGGCAACTTTCAGAGCGAGTGATCAGTGAGCGTGAATTACCTCCTGGGTCTTTTTGATTGGAACTTCTGTTTATGATGTAGAAGTCGTGGTCTGGCTGAAAATCGAGGAGGATTGATGTCTCAAACTCAATCCCTCCCCAATAACTCGGGTTAATTTGAACTCGCTCCAGATACTGACTTTTGTAGACTATGCAACTGTCTAGCGCCAATTGAGCCGTAACAGATGGTTCTTGAACCCATTCTTCGGGATTCAAGCGGTAGTGAACCTTCTCAACACACTCTACCAGAACACTGATAGTATCAGCATTTACAGGATGCAAGCAGTTGATCGACAGCGGGTTGAAGTCAATTTCTCCTTGGTCAACAGATCTGTCATTTCTGCAAGTGTTTCCTATGAAAGTTAATTGCTTCAAGTGCGGAAATAGTGTTTCGATATCCTTCCATGGATGAGAGGGCAGCCCTCCGAAGATCCCTCGTCCATTGTTCGAGTCGAAAAAAATGCTCAAATTCGCTGGTATAGATAGATAATCTAGTTATAACCGACAGGTTCAAGTGCATGTTGAAGAACAGTAAGTCCGTCGCCAATTCGTGCAAGTCGCGAATGACCAACGTATCGCTCTTATTGTCAATGTAGCCACTTGACGATGCATGAAATGTTGAGTTACTGGAATCGGTAGTGGCATCTGATATAACTTCATCGCCGGGCAGGCTCTGAAGATCCATAATGCTATAGTGTTCGAGGAACAAATCATGTGACTCGCGACAGACAAGTAAAAGTTGGCTTGGAACGAACCCCGCATTATCACGCCAAATCTCAGCGGACACAAGTTCAGAGCCTCCGGAAAAAAGAAAATGATCTGATTCTCTGAAAATATGCAGCTCCACCAGGCGTGGTTCCGGCAGGGCGTAGAACCAGATTGTTCGACGCATTTCGAGTGGTAATTTTGAAAAGCAATTAAACTTTCTCAAAAAAATCTGAGGCTGTGTCGGCTCAATAAATGTCTCCCAGTATACACAGATTGAATTTAGAAACTCCCATTGCTCATCCTTGTTCATACGCGCATATTCCCAATCCATTTTGAAAATGAATGAGGGGTAAGGTACATTTGAAATCTTGGTCCACCACGGCTAATCTATCTAAACCTATCTCCTCTTCCGTTTCATCCTGTTTCACTATGGCAGGTTGATCAAATACACCTGGGCGTGGCTCTATGTTCTGAAGTTTGGTGATCTCTAGAAGTTCCGCACCTTCTTGTAATTGTATTTCATTTATCGTCTTAGTATCGCGGTCTGCAAATGTTAAGTTGATGGTAACCGCTGAATCAATGGGATCAGGGGCTTCCGGTGACTCAACTGCCTCGTCACCCGCAGTAGTTGTTCGAAATGCAAGTTCCTTCATGTCGTTCATTTCAAATGGAAGACCCGAGAATCTGGGCACAAGATTTGATGAATTTGTTTGACGATAGTATGAAGGAGGACAAGGTCATTGATTTGAAGAGAGATCCAAAAGCAGTAGATTTGGCTCTAGAGGCTGTTCTATGAAGAGTGTTGCATGAATTTAAGTCGTACGCCTACTGTATTATATTTAGCAGGGGCGCTGGTCTCGTGGAAATCCCCCCATAAGGATTCATTTTCCCTATGCACTGTTCATTGGTGAATAAACAGACCGACAAAAACACTAAATGATTGATTTATAATATTCTTTGGAATCTCAGCTCAGTTCGAATACCTCGAGGAATGTTATGATGATTCATTAAAGATGGATTTCAATGTCAAAAAATTGAAGAATGAATTTATTGTAAATTTTGAAATTTGAGAAGTGTCCTTTTAGCCCATACACTCACGGGTAGTCTATCCTCAATGGCAAGATACAATACTGACAACTGGAACCTACATAGTAGGTGCTACAATAAACGCAAATTTCCTGACCTGGAAGTACAAGAGTGCGAGTGTTCAAGATGACTAGATAATGCATCGTTACAACAATAACGATGGAAAGATTAGAATGCTGTCGAGTTATGTTCCCCATGTTGCACTCATTTTTCTGGAATTTGGAGTGGCATTTCTAGTATAATATCAGAGACATATGGGGTGAACTTATACATGATTGAAACATATGATATGCATTCAATAGCCCGGACTTGGAGATTGGACATATATCGTCAATGTTTCAACACATTCAATATACGGATGCAATTAAAAGGACAATTGGCAAACCTCAAACATTTCAATATCTAGGTATATGGGAGCCGGCGAGTACTCAATGGTCTTTTTCTTTGTATTAACGCGGTAAGTCCGTCGTTCTAATATCAAAGTGTCTACTAACCATATAATGCAGGAGACTGGAAGATTGATATGCCGTTCAAGCATTGAGGCTGTGATTGCGATTACCAGTAGCAAACTTGTTCTATGGTAAATGATACTGAAAAACACAGACAAAAGTTTGATGCGCAAGGGACGAAAGGTCAATCTGATCATTTTACATAGTTTTCTTTTAGCTCTTTTGTCAAAACTTACATTAGACTTCATGGTAAAGTTTGAATGGTCGCCCGGACTCCCACGCACAACTGAAACCTCCGACCAAATCGACTGAGCTTGACTACGATGACATTATCCAAAATTCGATACACTTGGATTTGATACTGATTAAAGGACTGATTGGGGGGATGATCCAAAGCTACATTTGGATCCTTCCAAACTTGAGTGTTTTGGGTTGAGCTACAAGACAAATCCCAAGGCATATTTGATGTGCGTGCATTTAAAAAAGATAGTTCGCGAAACTCAAGACTTTCAATATCGATATGAAAGTCGGTGACACCCTGGAAGGATGTAATGACTTTACGGTTGGACAGCAAGGATTGGCAGTACTGGACCATACCATGATACGCTTGAGAGCTTATATGGAAATATCAAAACTACCGGAAATACCGGTAAACCTCTCAGCTACAGCAAAAAGCAGATCGCTACCTAAAAGAATGAAAAGGAGCTCTGGGCGGATACGATGAAGCTGTCATAGTTCATCCAAATTACTAGGGCAAATTGACAATTAACTTGGCTTTCATCACTATTGAAATCCTAAATTGGAGCGAAGAGTTTTGGGTCAAGCAAAAGAACTACTCTGATGAATTGACGGCTTTCGAAACCATGATGATCCCATACCTTCTGGATTAAGGGTAAGGTGGAGGTATAAAGAACTCGATAAGAAATTTCGCATGCAACGTAGACGGCACACTATACCATCGAGACCATCAATGTCGAGGGGTCAAGGGGTGAAAGAATTGTTCGAAAGGAAGTCGAGCGATCCCTAAGTCTAACAAGGAAGGAAGACCGTAAGGCGATGAGCAAAATGAAGGGTATTCGAGTAGATAAAGGCCATTAATACCTCGACAAATAGCACCCCTCAATGTCCGGATGATTTGAGTACCGATATACTATGGGTATAGAAGTATAATATCCTAGTATTAGTCGACCGGCACATCAAGAGTGGCGAAGAAATAAAAGATTAGAAACTAAAAAATAAGATATCACCAACAATCAACTTGCATGCCTATCGTGATCTTCATACTCGATTATAACCTGGTAAGCGCCGGTGACTCAATTGAGTCAGCATTGTACAATTTTGCATCGATCAGTTGTCATGATTTCAAATACTTCATCTGAAGTCTTCGCACTATCTCCAATCGCTGAACATCACTCCCCAGCGACGATGATTTTCCCATTTCAATAAACTCCTCTGAACAGTATCATAATATGTCATCACCCATCGTCGCTTCTACGTAGATTTCTGTTGATCTTGGAAATCTCCCATGCTTATAGAGATCTCCCAATATTCCGGCATATTGTCGGGTACAACCCATTCCCCTAACCCATTTTTTCGGTAGCCATTCACAAAACGTCTCGGCAGTAGAAATTGATGTGATTGGTCGAAATTACGACGCTAACTGTCAAATATCTCGCATCTCTCTCCATAGGTATCCTTTTACTCCTCCATCCCGAAAAGCCGTAAAAAAGTAGCGATGGGAAGTACAAATAAAATTAATCCATCTCCGGTTTCCCCACTCGTAAGAAGCGCTGGAACCACTGAGTTAACAGGGCTCGAAGTCGCTTCAATCCCCCACTCTCAAACTATCCACTTTCGCACACTCCGAACCACCGAGGAAGTCTCACGAGAGTCAGAGTGAAGCAGAGTGAAGCAGAGTGAAGCAGAGTGAAGCAGAGTGAAGCAGAGTGAAGCAGAGTGAAGCAGAGTGAAGCAAAGACCCTTCCTTTGATCACAAACAGGACAGGATCTGGTCCCTTGAAATTTTGAGTGATGAGACATGGAACATGGTCAAAGATGAACAGATTCATCATGAGCCCACCATAGAGAAATTTCTTCAGACAAAAAGTTGTGACTAGAGTGTGGGAATTTGTTTACTCCATCAAAAGGATTCGGAGAGATTGGAACGACAGATTTTTGTCCAATTGGCCACGATTGCCAACAGGTTACCATCATTCATAATCTTTATCAATAGGGGAAAACGGAAGGTGGATGCATTTTACATACGGAGTAGCTCCATAGTAGGCAAGGACCGGCATAGTATTCATTAACCTATTGATCTTCAATCTTCATAAAAATTTCCGTCACTATTATATAATCTGCCAAACAGATCATGTCCACTTTCCCCTGATTTTATGTACTTTTGTGCTAATGACTCATGAGCAGCCTTCATGTATGTTGACGATGACCATCACTAATCACCAGCCGAAACGTAAAATATACTTCCAAATGTCAAACATGTCGGAACACTGCTACATTTTGAGTTTTTATCCCCGTGACCCCAGACTTGACGCTGTGCCGTCGGACACTTATTTACTGTTGTCACCTGGACTGACAGTAAGACGGGAACATGGTGTAACACAAACCAGAGTGTTGGGAAAGAGGATTGAATATTGTAATCCGTGAGGATCTCTCCCGTTACAAAGCAATAAGATTATTGAACGATGGAACAATAATAGAAGCTTATTCCTCAAAGATTCTAGTCTTTCCACGTGGAAAACGATAGCGTACCGGTTGCCCAGCATGCTGTAGATTCCCAATCGTCTTACCGACCAATATATTCTTTTTTTCTTTTCCAATGCTCTAGACTGATCCTTCCCTACTTGATGAACACACGATAGGTCGGCTACATTCTGAGCAGTAAGCTTTCACGTCGTACGACATGAGTGCGTCTAACTTATCATTCATTCACACTTGGCGTTTCTTGGTGCTTTTGGTGGCGTTGCCTCTTACCCTAAAGTGATATTAGGCTTTCAGCTTAATGGCCAGGGGGGGTTACATTATCCTCCCAGAAAAGCCTAGATTTTCATACCGTTGAAAGAAGGGGAGTTTATTCGCCATATGGTTGTAGAATCTTCCAAATTTGTGTTTCTCGGAAGATTGTCATTGTATTCAAGTACGCGAGTACAAGATATGCCTCTATTGTAATGATATCAAGATAATCACCTCAAAATAGTTACCCCATAAAAGTCGTACCGAACGTTTTGTACAATTGTCAATGTCAGAATGAATGCCGAATCATCTTAATCCTTTTCAGCCTCTACTATTTGTGCTTAGTTGCGACTTTCTGCCAGAAAGAAGTTAAGATCTACAGGGACCCCGGAGTACAACGCAGCGCTAAATGAGCAAGTGTTTGATTTAAATCTCAACACGGATTTGAAGACCCGTTTGGGCCTATCACGCAAATCTAATCCACACTCTCCCTGTCCACTTCCCGTCTCCTCACATCTTCTAGGCTAGAAGCCTCATGGAACCATGTACGATTTATCTAGGCGTAAAGGTTTCCCCTGTTTGCCATGTGTATTTTCGTATTACCTTTTATCTCTCTTGCCCGTGTCGATTGACATGCATCAAGCAATCCTCTCGAACTCATCAATTTGCATCATCTAAAAGCTTTGGCACGAACGAGTCCGAGAATTGCAACATCGTTATTCTGTCGAGGTATCTCTCCACTCTTCTACACACGGTTCAATTAGCTTCAATGAACTTATATGTACCAACATCTGTGACCTGTCAGTAGGGCTTGTCTTTGACTCCTGATTTCGTCTTTCTTCTGGATGTAACCCACAAGTTGCCATTTTAAACCCCAAAATTCGATTCGGTACCGACGAAGGAGATGTTGGACGCAGAATCTTCTTCATTGACGCCTCTACCGGAATCCCTCTCTCATGGTTTAGTTGCTGTCGCGACCTTTGGTCTGTTATCATTCTTCTGTTCGATTAGTTTATTCGTCTACCTCACATACAAGATCTTTTCATGGAAGAAGAAAACACACATCGGTCCAGGTGCAGGTCAAGCAACGTCTTCTGTTAATCAATTCTTATTTCTGATATACAATTTACTATTGGCGGATATTCAACAAGCATTAGCATTTTTACTCAACATCAGCGCGCTCAAGAACAATGGAATTATAGTTGGAACGTCAACATGTTGGGTTCAAGGATGGTTTGTATCGACGGGAGATTTGGCTAGTAGTGTATTCATCGCTGCCATCGCATGTCACACATTTCTCAGTGTCGTAAAGAAATACCGTGCTCCACAATGGGCATTCTATACGGTAATTGGAGGATGTTGGGTATTCATCTACGGATTGGCCATCATCGGTGTCGCAATGCACCCACATGATCTTTACGTGAGGGCTTCTGCTTGGGTAAGTTCTTTCACTTTATACGTATCTAGAAATACATCTAATGATCACGCACAGTGTTGGATTGGAGATAAATATCAAGATGAACGTCTATGGCTTCATTACTTTTGGATATTCGGTGCCATGTTCGGAACCATTCTCATCTACGCCTGTATCTTCATCTACATTAGTCATCAATCGCGTTCCGCGCCTCCCGGAAATCAAGCATCCGATCTTCACGGCGCTCAACCTCTTATGATTCTCTATCCTTTGATCTATACGATTTGTACGATTCCACTTGCCGCCGGACGTATTGCCGCACTAGCCGGGTCGGATGTCAGTCTGAGTTATTACTGTGTGGCGGGTAGTATGATTGCGTGTAATGGATGGTTAGATGTACTATTATATGCCAGTACCAGAGCGGAAATCGTGTTTAGTGAGTATGCACCAGGCGCGGAAACGGGTTTGGAAACATTCGCTTTTATGGGAAAAGGACATTCGTTGGGTACAACGACGACTATCGAAGCTGGGGGGTTAAAGGCTGCTGTGAGGGGGAATAGAGGGAGTGGTAATTTGGGACGGAGAGGACATGGAGCGAGTGATAGCACGGATAATCTTTACAAGATGGGAGATATTTCCGTGGCGAAAAATGTTAGTGTTCGTGTGAGTATAGCACGAGAGGGAGAGTTAGGGATTGGAGGATACCAAAGGGGGACACCGGGAAGTAAAGATGATAGTGAAGATCATGGGAGTGATTCGGGGTGGGATAATATGAAGGGTAGAAGGAGTGAAAGTGGGAAGAGTGGATTTAGCGACATGGCTTAATCTTTTGATCTTGAGTTAAGATCTTAGATAATGTCATTGATACTTGATGATTATTTCTTTTGTTAATTGCATTGCAAGGAGTAGATGGATTTTTTTGAGCACTGGCTCTTGCATTTACATCGCATTGATACCCAATAAGTACAATACTGTCTGATTATTAGTGGATATGACATGTACATACATAGTACATGATAACTATTCACATCTTTTTGTTATTAGACAGAGTTTCTCAACTTGTACATAGGAAGATACACATACAGATACACATCTGAAATACACACACACATGACATTCGATACCTTCCATTTAGTGTAACAATCAGGATGACTTCTTCCGTCATCAAAGCCACTCCATGAATGAGTATACTGCCAAGAACGAAGTCAGCAGCCATTTAGGCTACCATAAATCTCAAACCTACTGAACAGCTCCCCGCAAAAACACGGCATCTATAAATATTCAACATCGCCTCATCATTTACGTTACATCCAAGATCTAGAAGCTTACCAATACCATACCCGACTAGCACTCGACATCAGCGTAACTAAGATTTCCAACCCATCCGAAACATGGCATCCGCAAGCGGTGTGAAACCTACTCTAGTCGATCTCCTCCAAACACCAATTTCTCAAAGTCTTCCAGCTGATATTGTGGAGTCGATATTGTTACAACCATTGTTTCTACAAATTCCGTATGCGCTGAATCTTCGCACAATATCGGCTCCTCTTCTCCCGTCAAATCGGGTATTTGTCTCCGGTTCTTTGTCTCATTTACCGTCTTCCTTACTTGCTCTTCTGGAGTCTCAATACAATGTTAAGACTATATACTCATTTTTGTCGTCATCAGAAGAACCAATACTAAAGCCACCTACCTAGGTGAATAACATAGAAATAATTCGAGATGAAGGGAATGGCAATAATGTAGTCAAAAATATACAAATCAATAGCCGACTTCGCAGGAGAGGGTGGAAAAACAGCATTTGTAAAGATGTATGGGGAGGGAATTTTAAAAGGGTACAAAAACGGCATTCGGAAAGTTTTCGGAAAGGTAGGAGATATCAAGGGAGGAAACATATTATTCCACTGTACTGCAGGCAAAGTTCGTACAGGCGTTGTCGCTGCATTAATACTTGCTTTCTTTGGTGCCTCGAAGGAGGAAATTACGCTGGATTATGCATTAACACGTATTGGGACTGAACCACATAGAGAAAGCTTGTTACAAGAGATGTCGAAATGGGTAGGAGAGAAAGGTTTGGAACAGCCGGACTAGATGATTTGTCTAGTCCAAAGGGGGAAAATGTCATCGCATTTTTGAATTGGATGGATGTGGAATAGGGATGTGATGTGGAGCAGAATGTGAACTGTTATGAGCATGTAGAAGGTAGGAGATAGAATGGTGTTGAGGGATGGCTCATTAAGAAGTGTGGATTTGAAGGTAATGAGTTGGAGAATATTCGTAGGGCTTTTATCTAGTTTGAAGATATTTGGAATTGTATACCAAAAATTGAGATGTTGTCTTAGAAATGTGGAACACACTAAGCTCGTCGCCCGATCCCAACTCGAATAGTCCCTTACGTTGTCTGCTGATAAACTGACTGCTGCTGTCTACATAGATATGTCCAGCGTTTACAGTCAATACTCACCTCGGTATGCACATCTGAAAGGTCAGCAAGTTCAATATTCACACGCATGATATCTGCTGCTTAGTTTTCAATGTGTTTATTATTTTGTAGCTAGTGTGGCCGAGAACAGGCTACCTAAAGGGTTTTCTGTCATTCAATTCCCGATTCCCAATCTCCCATTTTGATCGTTATCATCTATAGCAGAATATAGAGCAAAGATACATGTAAAGACTTTGATATCCGCCCCGGAAATGTAATTTTTGCAGCCTCAAAGTGCATAGGTCCGAATAACCTTAGAACCCTCAAAAATCCAGATGAAAATGTGAGCCTACTGAAGCTTGGTGATCATGGGTATTGGACGTCGCGAAGGAAACGATGGCATGTTGAAAATATCTTGGACCTCCCTCCAACTTCCATGAGAAATTACTACTCCTCCAGAAGCAAGAAAATACAAAGCGCTTAGTCGTCGCCAATAACAATGAGAAGTTCCTTCTCGAAGGGTTCCTCCTCGAGGGGTTTCATAATATTCTCGTCTTCTTCATCAAAAAGCTCCTTGAAGTAGTCATATTCACCGAGCAATGATCCATCCTCATTACATCTTATAAAAGCGTTGGGTTCCCACTCGTTTGAACCGCCATAAGGGGTCATCTCGAAGAAGTTGAACATCTCTTGAATCATGAAGATAAATTAGTCTAGTCTTCAATATATGTATTTGAGTAGGGGTTCAATAACCTACCAGAGCTGTAGTAAGCTGCTTCAAATTTCTCCTTTCCACAGAAAGGAGTGTCATTGTTGGTGTTGCACCCAGAATTTGGGCTGACTAGGTTGACTGGGGTGACTAGAAATGTTAGCCCATCGAATAAACTCAGTGAAATTATCAAAGTTTGTGAACATACCTGAAGTAAAGTTGGTTTGAAACTTGTTTTGTGTAGCCATGGGTTTGACTTCATGGTTTGTCATGACTTGATGATCCAGAACAGCTGCAGTAGCCATCCTACAACCAGTGCTTTCAATGCTTCCTATGCTTCTTCTGTCTTCAACCGGACTGGCCATCAAATAGCCTGGGGATACAATATCTTGACATTGAGATTCATTTTGTGAGGAGGTGTTCATAGTTTTCAGGTTCTGAAATTTTCTCCTTGGTAGATTATAATTCAAACCCCAAACTCCAGACTTCAAAAAACTCCTTGTTGAGTTCAGCGCTAAGAAAAGTTAAGAGAGAAAAGCAGACCAGTGGGAGAACAAAGTTGTTCGAGCTTGAGGACATTGAAATTTATTAAGAAACAAGGTACTGTAAAATGCAGACATGGCCGGGTCCACCACCAATGAGAAGTCTCTTTAGCTACCAGAAAAAATGGGGGGGGTCACATATAATCAGTGAATTCAAGGCCTAAGTTCTGCTTCGATTTCATTCCAACATGTTCTGAATCTGCATTTGCCTTGCTTGTCTGCACACAATGCTCTTTGAGCTTTGCATGAAGGAGCTCATCTGTACTTCTGGGGCTAGTGAATCTATGTGAATGAGCTTTTGAGAAGTAGTCCTGGGTAGATGATGAATGTAATTTGAACAAAATTCCAAGCTGACAATCAACCTCAAAAAGCTACAATCTGGTTTGGAAACGCTGGAACGAATGAAAGCAAAGAAGTTTGCAAAGTAAAAACGAGTGTCTAACAGAACTCGAAGTTTGAGTACTGCATATATATCATGAACATAAAGTCAAATTCAAATTTTTGGACCTCTTCACTTTACTCACATGGCATCTCGCCATGTTAAGAATGCCTCATAATTAAAAAGCCAAAGAAGGATCCCCTTGCCTTGAGCAAGGGAACCACAAAGATGAAGCATCAGCAATTACATATCACTTATAGCGGTCCTCCAAACCCTTGAGGTGTGTCGTAGAAGAGAACCACAGTTGATTCCATCCTTCTTGGTATCAATCTATGCCAGCTATAAGCGGAAACTTACCCACTGTGAAGAAGATACAGCGCCTGATAATAAGAGCTCTTGCCAAATCTGATTTCTGGATGATAATAAACCTACCTGGTCAGCTGTATAGCCTCCTTTACAACTGCATTTCAGAATAGCATTTGCCTAGATAAAATGCTACACATCTCATCCGAAGCTTTCGGTGCCCAAGTGGTGAAGTTTGAAGATGCGCAAAGTAATGGAAAGGATCTTCGGATGAGTAAGTTTCAGTTGGTCCATTCATACAGACGTCAGATGAAGAAGAAATATCGGTTTCTTAAGCATCAAACAATAGTTAATGTAGCGAGACAAACTTATTGAGCCGTAGCTGCCACCTTGTTTCTGCTCAGCTCAAGCTGCCAAAATCAGGAGGCTAAGCCTCAATTGATAGGTATGCAAAGAATGCAGTACCTGATTTGATGAGGGACGTTGTTAAAGTCATCCCGCATCTCATGAGCTACTGAGCAAGACATATGCTCAGTGCTTAGAATCGCGCAGAAATGACCGGCCAGAACACACCAGTTTCTATTTCAAGCTCATCAATAGCCTATCCACCCTAGCTGTTGAGACATTATAAGACAAATTTTGCTGAAACAATCCAAACAACTTAGCTAGTATATCCTACTATATGCGGTAATGATGTGCGAATTGCGCTGATAGATTTCTCGTGCATTCGGTATCGTTCTCGAGGGGTCATAACCCGCGATCATTGAAAGAAATATAGATGAATGAGACAACGAGTGGATAGTATACTACGACCATTAAGGGCAGACAATGAGGTTTCGGATGGAGAGATTCGTATGGAACTACTAAATCATCAGATGAATTGATTGTTGATCTTGAATACAAAGCCGGAAGATGTTTGTCGTGGGGTAACGCAAATGAGACCACATGGTCTCCGTATTTTGGGGGTGGGGGCACCACGAACCTCAATGAACCAAATGTCTACGGTTCTTGCGACAAGGTCGAAGGAAGAGATGATTGATGATGTTCGGTAATGTTACTGTCAAGGGAATCAAGGAGACTTCGAATGTATTACATTGGTAAAGCTTGTATCGGCGATAATTCATTACCAACAACCCTTCGAGGATGCAAGTGCTATCCAGCCCTCCAGTTCTATATCTGCGATTGCTTCAGCGTTGGTTTGAGTTTTTTTTTATTCAAATCCCCCCCTGGATAATAACCTATGTAATGTTATTCGTCTGGCGATCATGCTGAGATCTTATTATCGAAACCCAAGCCGGCATACGAGTGTGTGTGATGTACCAAGCGGTTGATTCTATCGAATGCCCAACAAGTGTTGAGCTGCTTTTAATAAGATGTATCTGCAATGAAGCGAGAGTTCTGTTTGTGTGGAAGCGATATATACCATTATCCAAAGGTCCGTCTATGTGCAAATCATTGAGCAATTGAAGGGAGAGGAAGAGCGAGCTTAGAAGTTGAAGGCTACTGTTGAACAAATAGAGATGGATTGATAATGTTGACGTGTCTCAAGGTCATTTTTAAGCCAGAGAAATACATACAACCAGCATTCTTTATAGATGATCGAGCGTGCCAAACTAGCAAAGCTATTTTCCTTCTCAGACGCACTGAGATCGTGCCAAGGTTAAGATCGGAGAGGGAGCTGATTTGATTTTTGATGCTGAAAGCTATGTATGAAGTCGATCAGATAAGTATAAGTCATTGCTGCAGAACCAGTCAGATATTTCGCTAATCTATCTATCATGATCAGGTTGACGGCCATCCCGCTCTTTCCTATTCCCAATTTCCGATCCTCTTGTCCCTAGGAAAAGAACATGGAGCAATTTCACAATTCCTTACTCAATTCTATCGTAATTATAGATGTCTCGACGGGGGAAATCAGTGAGTCCTTTCCACGATTTTGTTAAATATCATATCCACATAAAGTTGTGAGAAATCTCTTTGTACCAAAAACAACATCTAAACAACCCCTCCGTAAATCCAAGTACAAGGTATGAACAACCGCAACGATATGTGTATAATAAAATGTCTCCGAACCAAACATATCACCATCAAACAATTCAACTATCATCATCATCATCATCATCATCATCATCACCATCATCACCATCATCATCAACAAAAACAACAACCCGATTCCAACACCCCACGAACTTCTCACCCCACAAACTTCTCACCCCAAAAAACCCCGCCCCAAAACCCCCAAAATGCCCATCCTATGGGACCCCTCAATCCACCCCCCCTCCCTCGCCTGCCAAGTCTGCAAATTCCAAAAGGTAAAATGCTGTTGTTGCGGACTCATGGGGTACAAGACTATCGGCGATGGTTGCACCACCTGCTGTAACTATCTCACCGGTCCCACATTCGATGGAGATGCGGATGTTACGTGGATTGACGAGGCGTTGTGTCCGGAGTGTTCGCCGCTGGGATAAGGTAAGTTGTGATTCGATTGGACGAGATCCGGAGTCGAGTGGCTTGAGGATTCAATTATCATTTCTTTGTTTTGAAACTTTGTTTAAGGTAGGCAAATTTCTCTTTGTGGTTCTTTGTCTTGCTTGTTGGCGAAACTCGTGACTTTTCTTTTTGTTTGGTTACTTAATATAAATTTGTTTGCTTAAATAACTTTGTCTAATTCAGTGAGCGAGTATGTGTTGTGAATTGGTTCTGACTAATATCATTCTTGTAATCTTTGATGTTATCACTGGTGAGAAACCTCATGCCCCTTTGACCCCTGGAATATCATAATGATTGTGAATTAGGAAGGTACTTGATGAAAACTGGCCCAGCAGGTGCCAAATCTTCAAGCTAATGTCGTAAATAAAGAGAATCTTTACCGTTTCATCTCATTACTCTCCATAGCTTAGAGACTTTTAAGAAACTCTCACCCAGTCAGTCAACATACTCACTTAGACCCCTTCACATTGTACATGCTACTCTCAAAGTTTCCATAGAAAATAAATTATACTACTAAAATATAAAAAAATCATAAATACATTCATTCCCCATACATAAATCATTATCCCCAATTACAGTACTAATCAACTGCTATCAGCCGAAATCCACTTTCATATCAAAAATCGGCTTTTTGCTATATTTTGAAATACAAAAATCTTTATTATTTATAATTCAAATTATCTAAAAATTTATTTTTGGAAAGTTTTTATAATAATAATTGATATTTTCAAAATTTTAAATCTCTTAAAAATTTATATTATAAAGATTTATATGATTAAATTAAAATATTAAAAAAGTTATTTGATTTTCGCTTATTTTATTAATAAATTTGATTTTTTAAGAAATATTTTATTTTTTATTTATATAATTTAATTAATAAAAATTCTAAAAATAATTTGTTTTATTTTTATTATATTTTTATTTAAAATAAATTAATCGATATAAAGAAATATTATATTATCTTATAAATCATAAAGAAATCTATAATTATAAATGATGAGTTTTGGTATAAAAAGGCATTTGGCTGATAGTAGTTGGTATTAACTGTACCCAATATCGCAACCTATGAACCATTATGAAACCCCACAATTATCCACTTCCAACAACCTCCCATCTATGCAAGCTGACCTCTAACAACGCCCAATGGGAAAAGATTTGTATGAGCATCCGTAAAGAATCCTGCTGGATTAGCTTCAATCTGAGCAACCTTGAAACCGGTACCAGTATCAGGTCCTCCATTAGGAGCATTGATACCAGTTGTGAAAGGACCAGTCATACAGCCCACACTGACTCTACGATGATCATCGCCGACTGGATTTGGGAATGCAAGACGAGGAGGTCCAGATGCACCGCGAGCGGCTTCGTGGATATGTGTTGCTGTTTTGGCGGGAGATTGATATGTTCCGGCTACGTTGAGGAGTGTGATGTTCTGGATTCATATAAAAGTTAGAGGTAATTCGATGATTTAGATTTATGAAAACAAGTACTTACGTAGCAAATAGTATCTTGATGAGCGTTGATTCCATAATTGAAATACCCGACAGCATCAGAAGGGCCCGGAACGGAGACGGTACCATTGCGTACTTCGGATCCGAGAGCAACGACATTGTATGTGCTAGTGAAGACAAAAGGTGATCCGCCGCTTTGAGCAGCTGGAGCGACTGCCATATTGGCTGGTACATCGGGGGATTTTGGGTTGTCCTTGGAAACATCTTGGTCGCTTACTGGGGCCCCGTTTGCCCATTGATAACTACCGTAGGATGCATAAGTTGCGCCGTCTGCAGGAGCCGCGATGGCTGTGGTTGTGAAGAGGAAAGTCGCAGCTGTGGCGGCAATGGTGAACTTCATATTGACTGAATCGGGATTTGTTTTATAAGAAGCATTAAAGTATTGGATGTTTGATTGTTCAAAGAGTAGAGAGCTTAGAATGTTGATTGAGCTGTGATTGTGTTGATGAAGAAATATGATTGAGACCAGACTTTCACCTCCTTCTTATACATATTTCCCATTCTCATTTTTGCTTTGGGACAATTGATCTCATGGCTAGACTTTTACTTGCCAAGAATTTGAGCTGAGAAGTTAAGGATTGGAATATAGAAACCAGTCGTGATACCAAGCATGAAGTGAAAAGCACTGATATCGCCAAGTATGAAATCATGGCTGTGAAAGTTGACGTCCAGAAGCTTTTCTAGACCTCAAGGGCAAAAAGTAAACAAATATCGCTTCGAGGTACGGAGTAGCTTCAATATTTACTGCGGATTGTAGTATTTGGAAGAATATTCACTAGATATTTCTTGGCCTTCTTGTTTATATTCAATTTGGGAATTTCGTAAATGCCAAGTTCCCCGCACAACTCTGAATTGGGAAAAGAGAATGGGGATCTTGAGAAACCAGATGAATAAATGTGGATAGAGTGTATGAATAAGGTTCAGTTGGCAAGCTATTTAAGTAATACTCATGAAGCCATGCCGTCATTGTGCCAAGCTTCAATAATCCCGCCACTACACTGCCAAATCGGTTACCAGTACTACAGGTTAAGCTTAAGTAACTGAATCCAGTACCGAAATGTTGTTATTATCATCTGAATGTACCGCAGTGAATCCATATGTAAGCTGATATTGAGAGATAAGATTGATATTGAGGCGACAACCCTATCTGCCAAGCAAAGTAAAATATCTTGACAAAGTGCTATACGTGGAGTGTAGTATGATCCATATAGCCGACGGGGGACATAAATGTGTGTAGCTCCCCTTAGCAGAATGCGTGTAGAGGCGGAGAACCAAGATCAAGACAACAATACGAGCGGTGGCTTGGAATCATTGTACCCCCGACGGGAACACCCAGCAACTGGACCTGATCCATCATTGTGGCTTCTCCGGCAATCCATCATTCCGTTGGAAGCGGAAATCTTGGCAAGATTTGTGGCAATCCTCTCAATCTGATATCCACGAGAAAGCCCCAAAATCCTCTTCTCAAAATCACTGATGTCCACCCCTTCTCAACTCAACCTCGTCTCCCAATGTAATCATACTGGATACGGAGTCGTTATTTCTTCTCAAAGTATTTCGTTTCGCAATCAACATCGCATTCATGTTCCTATCACCTATTGTCCAATCTATTCGCTTCATACTTGGAGTGCAGCTTGTATTGCCGCATGGAATCTCAAGTGAGGCTCGAGCATCTTGTCTGAACCGACAACCCTTTGCCTCTTCTTCTCCGAAATCTGCAGTTTGCCTTAGTGAGAATAACTGATATTTGTTGATCATATCACGGCAGATAGTGATGTGAGTAGTGATGCAAAGGCAGTGGGTATATCGTTGGATTGTTATGAGACACATGTTATCGTATTTGGTGGATTTGGCGATATCGTGAGTTTGTGGAATTTTTCGTATCAAGAAGAAGCTCAATATCATTCGTCGCGAACTTGATATGGGTAGTGGAAAGGTACGGTAGAAGCTGACCAAGAGATGGATCTCTGAGTTGTTTTGAATCACTTCCTAATTAGTAAATGTACCTACCTAGGGCTACCTAGGTATGAATCACAAGGTCACCTGCAACGTTTGAAAGTCATAGTGGCTGTGCGTTCTCATACTCGCGGGAGTCTTGCAAACAATATAGTGAATGCAAAATGTTGCTCAAATGACCTCGGGAATGAAAGTACCTTAAGTATCGTTGAGATTCTTCATTTGGATTCAATTAAATAAAAGAATGCTCGAGCGACATATGAAAATTGTCACAATCCTAATATATCCATAACAACTTTGCTTTAGACTAGTGTCTCTGGGGACTAAAAAGCCTAGAGGATAAATCCATCCTAATGTTGCGCTTGAGAGAGTTTACCTAACGCAAAGATTTTCCAAAAGAATGCTTTATAAATCCAACCCGCGTTCAATTTATCAATCGCCCATCCTAATGTTGCGCCGGCTCCAGCAAAGAAACGCTGAGGTGGATTCATTTGAAGGATCTTTTGAACAACATGCTTGGTGTATGCTTCCACTTGTATTCCTCCTCCGATTCTGACTCAAGCTTCGTTAAGATCGGATTCGATTAATTTATAGGGAGAGTCTGCGGTGAAAGATCTTAGCAGGATATGAACAAAAGACTCGAGGATGATGATACATACCTTCTGGTAATATGTCCATCTGATTCCGAGTCAACATGGCGGTACCAACTGTACCTGAAGCCACATTGATGACGAATATTCCAAAAGGCTTAAGTTCAAGCTCCAAAATCGATATATACGAGTGTAGAGCGGCTTTTGATGCATTATAGAGTGATTGGGTTGGGATTGGCATATGCCCAGCCAGACTGCTAGAGAATGCAATCCTACTTCCAGGGCCAGCTTTCATTAAAAGCGGCATAAAGACTCTAGTGATCTCAACTATTCCAAGTATATTTGTACCGAAATCTTTAGAGCCAATGCGTAGTCACAATGCATGGCGAGGGTTATTGTTCGTACTCCGGCATTCTGGTAGAGGATATCAAGAGTTCCACCTGTGGCCGCAGACATTCTTTCGCAGGCTGCTTGGATTGAGGAAGGCGATGTTACATCGAGTTCAATCAAGGTAATATCAGGATCTTTCTCAAGAGATTTCATTGTACTGAGTCGACGAGAGCTGGCGAAAACATGGTAGTTTTGACGAACAAATTCGAGAGCGAGAGAATGCCCGATACTTCCATCACTACAACCTGTAATGAGAATTGTAGGTTTCTTTGCCATGCTGGCTGAAATGCTGAATGAAAGAAGGAAAGGTCCCGTCTCAAGATAGGAATGGGAAGAGTGATTTCGAGAATCTACTGGAGGTACAACATTGTCGCATACTAAGATATATGTAGTCCTCCATGGTGGAAGAATGGAGTGATTGTTGTGCCGTTTATCTTGGAGGATAATTAGTAAATACGAGAGTTGTGTTGCTAATCAATATATCAATTGAAGGAAGCAGATTTGGGGGAAAAGCTGGTGGTGTATGTTGGTGATGATGAAGGATGCTGTCGCGGTTGAAACATTATTGAATTTGTCTCAATGATTGGTTGGACCGCAATACCTTCTGAGAATAGTTTAGCTTCACTTGAGAAAGGGACGTGCACTGAACCTTGTGCATGCCTTCGCGCCCCTCTGTCTTGCATTTTCCTATCTTCCTGCATTATCTTCACATATCAATCAATTTTGTCAGCCATAATGATTTCCATATATGATTTTCAATGCATTTTCTTTGGAAAGTATTGCGAGCGAGAGAATGAGATTGGAGTTGGATGACTTTCATTCTTTTGGATCATCAAACTTGTAAATTTCTATTCGCTCTTGCTACTTGAACAGCAGCAACATCGTTTTACTTCATAATGGCACGTCGTCACGGCAAATTATCGAAAGGATGTCAGACTTGTAGGAAACGGAAGATCAAGTTAAGTTGCCTGGTTGGTTCCCGAGAGTTGCAATACATTACTGATCACAAGTTTAGTGTGACGAAGTGATGCCAGCTTGTAATCAATGTTTAAAAGCTGGCTGGAAGTGTCCACAATATGGAGATTCTTTGGAAAGAATGTTCCAGTACTCAGATGTGAGAGATTTCGAAAACTCTGCACATAATGAGCCTTTGAAGTCTAAAGAAAGGGCTTCCTGTATGATATATGGTACGCAACTTCTCATTCTTTGGCAAAAATGTCGCCTATGTCTTCAGCAGCCATCATTGATACTCCTTAAGCAGGCCCACTCATATTCAAGTCTCAACCACCACCTATCATTCTTTCCAAAGAGATTTCAAACACTATCAATGATCGTGCAATTGACTTCTTTCTTTCTACTCACATATTTCGGGACTCTGGTCCTGTCAAAGGATATTATGAGTATTTATTCTTTCATCGCAACGATCCCAATCTCAACCACACACTCTACACAACCATCACTGCAGTTTCTTTAGCTGCATATGCTTATGCTTTCAAATATCCGTTTCTTCTTCAGAAAGCAACTCAATCCTTTGGTTACGCACTCCATCTTGTCAATAAAGCATTGACATCCATCGAAGAGGCCACCAAATATTACACTATTATATCCGTGGCTCTGTTCAATACATTTGGAGTACTCACCTGTCAAAATTTAGATACCTTGATGGATTGTGATAGGCATATATCTGGTGCAACATGCATGCTAAAATTACGTGGGCTTCGTCAAATGGAGACTCGGCATGGACTTCAATTGTTTCTTCAAATGAATTCAATTCTCCTACAAAGTTGTATCTGGCATTCGTTTCGGGTTCCTGATGATTTGATTGAGTTACAGAAACACGCTGCAGGTTTTTTAGATGCAAATGATCCAGCCTGGAAGTTGAACGACCTGATTGTGGAATTGACCACGTTTCGTGCTGATATAAAGGATGGTATACTTCTTGAAAGTTCTTCCATAATTAGAGCAGCTATAGACTTGGACATAAAGTTTTCGTCTCTCGCGAGTGAGATGTCCAGATCACCCCCATGGCATTACAATTCTATTCCCATTGTATCTACATCAGGTACGATATTCGGTACACGTTATCATGTATACTCAGACCTCTGGGTAACTCAAATTTGGAATTATTTTCGTACCTGTCGCATATTCATTTATGAAGAAATTGGTAGACAATTTAAAGAGGGACAATTCATACATCCTATTGCCAGTATGGATTATTGTCTTTGGTTTACAACCTTACAAGAAATGATTGATGATATTTGTGCATCTCTACCTCAATACTATGGTGATGCTCCCAAAGTACATACTTCATCAGGAATTAGCGGCTCACCTGATCAAAACTTCATCACAGGTCCGCTATCTATTAGTGTCGTTCCTCATATCGCTGGTACTTATTTTCTTCTTTGGCCTCTACTTAATTCAGGTCGGATGACAATCTCAAATCTTCAGCGGGATTGGATTATTGGTAGATGCCGAGTTTTGGGAGATAAGACAGGTATCCAACAAATGTTCACCTTGGCAGATGTTTTGGAGAAGAGAGAGATGTTTCCCGTGTATGAAAGTTGCTTAGCAAATAATATATGATGTATCGCAAGACACTATAGTATTTGTTTTTGTATTTCTGGGTCTGATCATGCGTGTTTCCCTTCATGATCGTAATTACACATATCTCTAGGTGAAGTTTTTGCATTTCCCATTTCTTCTACGGGGACTAGGATATATTCTATGTTTTCGGTCATTTGTGATCGCTCCAAGCTCAATAGACACAGTCCCAAAACTCAAGTAACGCATCGTGGTTTTATCAAGTACCTACGAACGCTTTTAAAGTTTTCCTCTTTCATCTCTTAGACTAATTTACTCGTCCTACCAATATTTAGAAAACAAAGATCTTTAGGTTAAAAGTGATCACTTCACCGGAGATGCAAAATTCAAAATTTAATTTACTTTGTCTTCATAAATTTCATTACCAATATCTCATTATACATAAATCTATATTTTCCCCATCCATCTATTCAACAATGGCATACCATTTAAGTTCTCTCCCACTCACCTCCAAAATTGGAATCTCATTCCCATTCTTCCCTCTGAAACTAACCTGGTGAGCACCCTGCGCATACAAAACTGCACCCGATCCCGTGTTCGCAACCTTCTCTCCCACACTTTGCGCAGGGACAAATCCACCATTCGCAGCTCCCGCCCACGCAGTCGCATATTCACTATTTGTTCCGCGCATCGCTACACACACGGGTGTGATTCCCAAACTGGTAATCGCGATGCCGATATTATCGCCTGCGGAAACTTCTTGTCCGACGGGGATGGAAATGGCGAGGACGGCGGCGCTTAATTCTGCGGGTGTGACGTCGAGGGTAGAGAGGGTTTCCCATTGGTAGAAAGGGGAGAAGAGCGCGGTGGTGTTGGAGAAGCGGAAGATGGTGAGGGTGACGTTGTCGGTTGGGGCGTCGCCGGCGAGGTTGATGCTGACGGTTGAGAGGTTTCCGGCTTGCGGGGTGGAGAAGGTTTGGTAGAGGGCGTATTGGGGGAGCGAACAGTTGAGGTAGTAGTCTTGATGTTCGTTTCCGGAACCGAGGGGGGCGCTCTTGGCTAGGCCGTTGATGGGGGTACTGCTGTTGGTGGATGGGAGCGTGATGGTGGTGCTGAGGGAGGCGGAACAATCTAAATCTTGAATTGAACCGTCGGAGTTAAAATTGAGAACTTGAAATTGATGACCGTGTTGTGCGTTTCGGGGGCCGGCAAGGGGAGCGCTGGCTTGGATATCGGCTTGGTGCACGTAGGTTGCGTCACCGCCGGTAGAGGATGGAATGGTTAAAACACCGGTAGTTTGTCCACCGCATGTATCACTGCTGATGATTTGACGAGTCCATGGGCCGGAGATTTCGGTGGCGCGGTACATGATCAAGATTGTTCCTTGGCAGAAACCACACGTGTTGGATGCGGAGATGTAGTAGTATCCATCGCGGTAGAAAATATCTGGAGATTCGGCTTGGAAATCCACGAGATCTCCTACGGGGAGAACCTGTGTTGCGTTTCCAGTCGTGTTCATGAAATCGCTGGTGAGTTGCTGGATGTAGATGGACTGTTTGAAAGGAGGCCAGATGGATGCTCCGAGTGTGGTGTAATCAATGAGAGAATAGGCGATATAACCCGTTCCGTTGATCATGGCGACTGAGAAGTCACCCGCTTGCTGGGTTGCGGGTTCTGGTTGGTATCCCACGAGAGCACGGGAGGATTCAGGCACGAATCCGGAGGTGGGAGAAGAGGACGTGAAGATTACGTAGCCGGGAGTACCGGCGTTGACCCAGAGGATGTAGAGGGCACGAGCGGAATCATAAAGCATGTGCGGTCTTCCGCAATCGCCGGATGCTTCGCAGATGGTGGCTGTAGCGTTTTCTTTGGGGTCGAAGAGTAGACCGTTGGAGGACCACTGTATGATGTCAGATTAGTACTCCAATACAATTCATCCCATTATTTTTCAAGCAAAGGGTTCCAATTGGTTCTCAAACAAGCTGTGAAGCTCACAATATAGCAGAAGTGGAAAACTAAACATACTGTGACTAAATCCAGCGAACTCCAACTCTCGATTCCGCAGAAAGCTTCGCCACAGCCGAAGTTTAAGCCGTACCATAGAAATTGGCCTTCGAAATAATCGATCTTGCCAGAGGTGGAATCGATAAGATCACCGTCTGTGGAAAACATGTTGACGAAGGAATTGGATATCGTGGTGTTGAGACACGTTGCGGCTCCTAGGAGTGAAGAGCCTAGGAGGAGGGTGGAGAGGAGGGGATTCCTCATTTTTGTGGTTGGATGTGTAGATGTGTGATTTATGGTATGAGAATGAGAAGAAAGATCTTCTGTTCTGTTAATTTTTCAACTCCAGAAGAAGAGAGGAGGAGAGCGCGAGAGAATTAAGTATTAAAGAAGAGGATATATAAACAGCCTTCTTCACAATTCACAATTCACAACTTCAAACTTAGAACTTAGAACTTCAAAAAAAAGAAAGTTTAAGGGTTCAACCGCTCCTCTTTATATTACCGTTCATCCCATCCATCCGTCTCCCATCCATCCATCTCAACTCTTTGATCACCCCGTCATAACATGTCAAAGCCTCGGGTGCGGGTCCTAGCACCAGCACAACCACCTCTCCAAATGAATCAAGTACAACCAAAAAAAAAAAAAAAAAACCCCATCATCATCAAAGCCAAGTCCAACCCTCCCTCCAGTATCCATGAACCCCCCTGAAGCGTCCACCTCTCATTTAC